AATGCTAATACGGGCGTAGATGACGGTCCGCACGACAATATCACGGGCGAGAGCGACGCCGGTACCACGCCGTCCCAGATTCTCGTGTTTTTCCCACTCGCTCCCTCCGTCACCGAAGACGTGCTTGCCGTCGGTGCCTCCAAGCTCGAGCTCGCCGAGAAGCGGTCCGCCCCCAAGCCATCGGGGGAGGGTCCTCCAAAGCTGAAGTCGACAGCGCCAACCGGGGACGGAGCCGGTTTTGGTGCCAGACCGGGATCGCTGCACCGTGTCTTCTTGATGCGGCACCGGAACACGGACGAGTCGCTCAAGTTTGGGTTTGCCGAGTTCTGGACGGTCGAAGACGCGCTCGCTGCGCTCGACAAATTCAAGCGGCTGCGCGCGTTCACCATTGCGTCGGCGGCCGTCACCGTCTCAACCATTCACCTGGGTGTGTTCGTGCCTGAGACGAGGGAGATTCTCCCGCCGATCGAGAAGCTATCGTTCTTCCCGCTTTTCAACCCGACGATACGCGTCAAGTACTGGGAGTCGAGCGTGTATCCCAGCCAGAAGCTCGTGACGGAGGCGGCCCCCGAGCAGCCAAAAGCCAAGGTCGACGAAGAGTCGGCCGACGGCGTCAAGAAGAGCAAGAAGCGCAAGGCGGAGGGGGCGCTTCCCGGGACCTCGAAGAAGGCGGCCCCCATGATGGGCCAGATGGCATTCTGGCAGAAGAAGCACGACGAGATTCACGAGGGCAAGAAGCAGGCGGAGCTCAACGCACAGGAGAGAGAGCAAGAGATGATGGCACGGTCAGGGGAGCGGGCGCCTGTGAAGATTTCCCTCGCTGGGGGCGGCCTCGCGCCCTCGAGTGCTGAGAGTCGCGGGGCCATCACAATCTCACTGTCGAGCAGTGCCTCCGTGGCGTCTGTTTCTGCGTCTACGGCACCAACGTTGGCTGTGCCACGGAAGGATACGGACGATGCATCCACACCCAAAGCCGACGTGGCCAAAACTGTCGCATCATACGTCGACCGCGAAAAGGTGTGCTGCCTGCTCTGCATGATGAAGTACAAGTCACTCGACGACCTCAACACGCATGAGCGGTCGAGGAATCACAAGACGGCCATGGCAGATGAGGCCAAGGTCAAGGCGGCGCAGCCGAGGATAGCAGCACGCGACAAGCGAATAGCCAAGGCCCTCGAAGAGGCTGGCGGACAGGGCGGCAGTCTGGCGGCGCAGGACGACGACAACGACTCGGCACCGCAGTACAGGGACCGGGCGAAGGAACGACGACAAGTGTTCAGCCAGCCGAACAAACCAGGGGCGCCGCCGCCGGGTGCCAAGTCGGTTCAGCGCAGGGATGACAACAGCAAGGCCCACAGCAGCAAGACGGGGAGCCGCGAGGCCTCGCCCCCAGTGGCGCCGCTGCAGTCCAAGGGGTCGGCGATGCTGGCGAAGATGGGCTGGAGTTCGGGGCAGGGTCTCGGGGCCAAGGGCGAAGGGCGCACAGAGGTCATCGAGACGCACGCGTACCAGGAGGGCGTGGGCCTGGGTGCCGAGGGAGGCAACCTCGGCGACGCGGCAGAGCTGGCGCGGCGCAAGACGACCAACAGCTACGCCGACTACGTCGACACGGTGCAGGACAAGGCACGGCAGCGGTATAGCAAGCTCGAGTGACGAGTGATGGCGCCGGCGTGTCAGGCCGGTTCGTGCTTGTAGCGTATTACTGTAGAGTAGAGTAGGAGAGGCTGTCTGCCCCCAAGAAAAATCATGGAAGAGATAGATGTCTCCGCGATCAACGACCTGTTTACCCCCACAGAGAGCAGAGAGCGACGACGGTAGAAGGCCGCCGTCCGCAGCTTTCGGGTGAAGTCGAGAGTGATTCCGAGGTGGAGCATCTCGAATCAGACTTTTTCGTCGTCATTGGGCGCCTCGTGCCGACTCTTCCTCGTGTGGCATAGACTTTGTCTGTCTCTCTCAGGGTGTTATTTCCGCAAGATTTGACTCATCCTCGACTGGCCTTTCATCAGACTCGCGGCCGTGGTCGTGTCTCGGTAGAAGTAGACCAGGTCATTGACTCGTCAGGTGAGGCAGTTCTGCTTCTAGTCAGGCAAAGGCAGATAAGCAGTTTATCGGATGGATTGACCCCGCCACCCCGCCAAAAACATCATGTTGACCATCTTCTCTCACCAGTCTACAGAAGTCACTCCCATCGTTTGAAACCGTCACATCATCACATCGAACCGTCCCCACACCGCCGCCATGTCGTCCTCAGCCCCCCTCACGACGCTCTCGCTGCCGTCCCTCGAGAGGATCGCGTCCGGCAAGGTGCGCGACCTCTTTGCGCTGCCCGACGACCCGACGTCGCTGCTCTTCGTCGCGACGGACCGCATCTCGGCCCTACGACGTCATCCTCCAGAACGGCATCCCCAACAAGGGCGCCGTGCTGACGCTGCTGTCGCAGTTCTGGTTCCGCCTGCTCGCCGAGCGCGTGCCCGGGCCTGCGCACGCACTTCCTGTCGCTCGGCGCCCCGGCCTCGCTGCCGCTGACGCCGGCCGAGCGCGCCCTGACGGCCCACCGCGCCATGCGCGTGCGCCGCCTCAAGGTGTTCTCCCGTCGAGGCCATCGTGCGCGGCTACCTCGCCCGGCTCGGGCTATGCCGAGTACGCCAAAAGTTCGAACCGGCCACGGGATTTCCGCTGTCCGCCGGGCTGGGTCCGCTGGCGAGAAGTTGCCGACAGCCCTTCTACTTGCTC